ATTTCACTGAGCATAATTCCTTCTAGTTCCATCCACATTTCTGTGAATGACATGAGTTTATCTTTTTTGATTGCTGAATAATATTCCATTGTGTATATATACCGCATCTTCTTTATCCAGTCATCTAATTTTGGACATTTGAGTTGTTTCCAGGTTTTACTTCTTGTAAATAGTGCTGCAATAAACATAGGGGTACCGGTGCTCTTTTGAATGAATTTTTTTGTCTTTGGGTATATCCCTAGGAGTGGAATTGCCAGGTCGTATGGTAGCTCTAATTTTAGTAGACTGAGGAACCTCCAGACAGCTTTCCGTAGTGGTTGGACCAGTTTGCACTCCCACCAGCAATGTAGGGGAGTTCCTTTTTCACCACATCCTTGCCAACATTTGTTGCTTGTTTTTTGATATGTGTCATTTTCACTGGTGTAAGGTGGTATCATAATGTGGTTTTATTTTGCATTTCCCTGATTATAAGGGATTTTGAACATTTTTTCATATGCCCGTTGGCCATTTGCATTTCCTCTTTGGAGAAATGTCTTTTAAGTTCTTCTGCCCATTTCTTGATTGGATTGTTTATTTTGTTTTTGTTGAGTCGTGTGAGTTCTTTGTATATCTTTGTGATCAGTCCCTTATCAGTTGACTGGGGTGCAAAGATTTTTTCCAGTCAGTGGGGTGTCTCTATTTTGGTTCATGTCTCTTTTGCTGTGCAGAAGCTTTTTAGTTTGATGTAATCCCAGGTATTTATCTTTTCCTTGACTATCTTTGCTTTGGATGATGAGTCTTTAGAGATGTTATTGTGATGTATGTCTTTTAGTGTTTTATCTATATTTTCTTGTATATATTTTATGGTTTCAGGTCTTATGTCCAGTTCTTTTCTCCATTTTGAGTTGATTTTTGTGCATGGTGAGAGGTAGTGGTCTAGTTTCATTTTTTTGCATGTGGTGGTCCAGATTTCCTAGCACCTAAATGGCCATGTATTTAACTTTCAGCTGTTTTATTCCACCTTTCAGAACATAAATAGAACATAAATGAAAAGTTGAGTGTTTAATAGTACTTTTTAATTACGTGCTCAAATATTCTGTAATCTTATATATCAACTCCTGGTTTATAGTGATCTCTATGAGGTCAACTATTATAATTATTATTAGTGAAGCATAACATTTGAGAAAGGAATATTTCTCTAATTTTCAATTCTTGCACTTCTCAACCCTGAATTGTTTCCATGCTTAAAAAAATTGCGTTCAGTAGGAATAGGGCCCTCACCTTCAACATGGTTGAGAAATTAATTACAGGAATTTAATTAACTTAAGTTTTATACTTATTTTATGAAGGGTTATAGAGGTTAGAAATATCTCAATAATTTTTCCACAAGATAAATTAAAAAGAGATAATTACTGTCATGTCTTGCCATTTGTACCACCATCCAAAATAACTTAACCTTATAGTCTCAGCATTTAATAACAGTCATGCAGATTCTTCAGAACATATAATAAATGTCAATCTTTTCTCCTCTATCTGGGCGTTTCAGACATATCTTCTCTTAGTGATGTAACTAAAAATTGTGTGAATGAATGACAGAGAACCAAGTCATTCACATTCTTTGGATACATGATGATGTGGAAAGAACACTGAAAAAACTCAGTGCTGGGGCCTCCCCGGTGGCGCAGTGGTTGAGCGCTGGGTTGCGAAGCTGCCCGCAGCCTCTGCAGCGCCGGTTCAATCCCCGGCTGCTCCCTGGCCACCGGAGGAGGGTCCCACATGGCGCGCAGACCTCTCCTGCCGCCCGCTGCTCCCCTCAGCAGTGTGCTTCGGTCTTTCTGCCTGCTCTGCTCCCCGCTCTGGCTCTGGTGAATTCTCTCACCCTCCCGCGCTTCTGACTGTACCCAGTGCATGTATAAACAAAAAACAAACAAACAAATAAAAAAAATGCAGGAAAAAAAAAAAACTCAGTGCTCTGGCTAATGTCACACATATATGAGTAGTTGTATCTTCTCTTTTATTAAGATCATTAATGTTTTTATAAAATGAAGAATAAATAAAGATTGGTACTATATATAATTTTTAGGTTTTTGTAAGTTATAACTATTAGTGTGAACAAAGATGCCATTTATATAGAGGGTCATTTTTTTCTGTTTAGGATCTTTGGATTTTCACAAGAAAATCAACCACCTGATGGAAAATTTTTCATTTTTGAAAAAATGAGTTTCTTCGAGAGCCATGCATCACTCTTCTCTCATTTTCTACTTATCCTATGATAGAAAAGAAAGAGGAGGGTGACAGAGATAAGAGTCAGACAGTAATAAGGGAATTTGGAATTGACTGATATTCTGATACAAAAGAATGATTATTCAAAGTAACATAGTAAATATTTGAAAGAAGAAACTCAAAATTTTCAATCTTAAAAAATGTCATAGTGAATTCAGAGACTCTAGTTTATCTTGTACAAATGAGGAAGCATAGGTGAATAGAACATAGAAAATTAGCATAAACTGGTACTAGAAAGTTATAACTATTTGTGAGCAAAGCTTTTTAAAATATTTTATTTAGCATATTTTTTTTAGCAGTTCTAATTTATGGTCATCTCCACTTGTTTTCTTTAGAATCTAATAACGTATTTTTTGAAATATATTGGCTTTTTGAAAATCAGTTGTAAAAATTAGGAGCTAGATAATGTGTTTATCACAATTTTTGTTCTGCTGTCTGCTTTATTCAACATATGTATTTATCGAGACCACATGTATGATAGTTGACTCCAGAGTTTAGCTCTGTAAGTGTGATAAAGATTTAAGTAATGTTTACTTTCAAAATGCCATGGAAAAAATTAACTTAGGAAATATTTCAGGGAAAAAAGTGAAACATTTAAAGTCTGAAATATTAGGAAAATTAAATTGGAAAATATTTTAAACATACTGAAAACAAAGGGACTAACCAATTTTAACAAATGTTTTTGTGTCGACATTCTTGCTTTATATATTTTTATTGTTTTAAAGAAATTAAAGGTCACTGAGACTACTCAATCCATTCACAGCTCATTCTTGCCCATTTCACTTCTCCAGAGGTAACAACTAATGGTGTATATTTTTCCTTAAAAAATTTTTTATATTTGCATATATATGTACCTGTAAGTCATATACATCTGCTCTGCCAATATGGTAGCTAGTAGTTACATCTAGTTATTTATTTAAAATGAAATAAAATATGCTCAGTTGCTTATGAACACTGATCAGATTACAAGTGTTTAATATCCACATGTGATTAGAGTCTGTAATGGACAGTGCTGATGCACAATATTTTTGTTATTGCCAAAAGTTCTGATATGTGCCATTGTGCTTATATTCTTAAACTTTATACAAATGGCATCATACTATACATACTCTGGAGCTTGCTTTTTTTTCACTCAACGCTATTTTTGAGAATTATCTAGAGTGACATTTAGGCTATTTATACTTTTTAATGTTAAAAAGTGCTGCAATGAGCAATGTATGCCTGTTTATTTACACACAAGTATATATGTGTGTCAAATTTTCTATAGAGTATGCATTAGTTGTTTGTAATCATTAACAACTTTTACATGATGTGGCCAAATCATTCCCCAAAATAGCTCTGCCAAGTTATGCCTCAAGCAGGAGCACATGATTTCCTTTTCTCAGAAAATTGTTGATATTATCAGACTATGGTATCAAATGTTATTTTATTTTTAATTTACTTTTCCCTAATATTACACTTTTTATAATATTCCCATTGTAAAAAAAGATGAGTAGCTTTTCATATGTTTATTGCTTTTTTCTGTGAATTGCTCATTCTCAATACTTTTCAAATAGTATTTTTTTCTTTTTGATTTAGGAATTCTTAGTAATAATTTGTTTTTGACTATCTGCATTATAAATTTGTCTTATTTTGTTGCTTGTGCTTTTACTGTTTTTATCGCTATAGAGAAATTTTGTTTTTTGATATGAAGAGGTTTTGTTTGTTGATGTAGAGAAGTCTAAAAATTTATTGTGTAAATATTTTTAACTTTTCCTTTATTGCTTGTGCTTTTTTTGAGTTTTATGTAAGCAAGCTTTGACTATTCTTATGCCATATGATTGATTGCCTGTTTTTTGTTTTTTTCTCTTCTAGGACTCTTTTAATTTTGTTACCTACATTTATTTATTTATTTATTTAAGATTTATTTATTTTATGCATTCAAGAACTGGGATACAGGCCAGAGGGGTGTGTGTGTGTGTGTGGTATTGGGGGGTATTTAGAGGGTTCACCAGAGACAGACTGGGGAACAGAATAGGCAGAATGACTGAAATACACTGCTGAGGGGAGCAGCCAGTGAGTCAGGAGAGGTCTACTGTGCCAATTAGGTCTCCTTCCTGGCCAGGGATTGAACTCATGCTGCAATGGCTGAGGGTAGTTCATAGTGCTGCGTCTTAACCCCTCGAGCCACCAGGATGGCCCCTTTTCCCTACATTTAGATCTTTAGAATCTGTGTGGGATTTATTTTGTGGCACAGTGATCTAATTTTTCTCCACATGTATAAATAATTCTCTCAGTGTAATTTTTTGAATATGTTCTCTATTCTGTGGTGTTGATTTGTTTATCTCTGTTTCAGTATGCCATATAAATTATTAAAACTTTATAATGTGGTTTTACTATTAAGGTAGGTCTCTAACCTTATGTATCTTCAAAATTGTCCCATTTTCAGTCTGTTCTCTCACATGTGAATTATAGGGTCATATTGTCTAGTTCTCTTAATAATCCTTATAGAATTTCTGTTGAAATTGAATTTATAGAGTAACTAAGTGAGTACAGACAATTTCATGAAATTTAGTTTTCCTATATACCAACATGGTATATCTTCCCAATTATGCCTGATAATAATGTTTTATAATTTCCATTAGGGAGGTCTTACTCAGATTTTGTTCATTATATTTTGTGTAGAATTTATAAAAGCATGTTAATAATTTAGCCTGTCTCTTTTTCTTATACAAATTTTGTCATTTTTGTGCATTAAGGTTCTGTTAGCATTAAACAATGAGCTATGAGAGAACCAAGATGGTGACAGAGGAGGTTCCTCCCTTTGCTCCCAAGAGCAACATTTAATAATTAACCAGAAGTTCACTATACCAAGAGAGTCCCATGGCTTGGGGTGAAACTGATGTGTCCATGGACTTGTGAACAAGCACAGAAGAGACATGGTGGAGATTTTATACTTCATTAAACAAGAGGTGGGTGAAGACAGGCATCTGGAGGCTGTAGTCTAAGGAGGTGGAAAAGAACTGAAGGAGTGCTGGGCCAGCCAGAGGCTCTGGTGAGGGGAGAACAGAAACTGTGCACAGGCACACACTCTTGAAAGAGGGGAAACCTATATAAAGGAGCTGGGGTGCACCATGCAGGCTGGTCCCTACCAAGAGAAAGACCAGATAGAACTCTAAATTGCATTCCCTTCCCACCACCCTCTCAGGGCAGGTATTGATTTGTGAAGTGCCGCGGACCAGCGCAGTGGTAGACTGGCAAGGCCGTCCCAGGGATGTGAAACTCAGTCCAGCGCACAGGGGAAGGGGGTCTTATTCACTCAGATGTATTATGTGTCTGAATGAAGGCCTCCCTCTTTTCCAGTAAGGTCACTGGCGTTCAGCGGCAGGGGCTGCCGCAGTGTAGTGCAGTGAGAGTGCAGAGATTGCTGAATCTCAGATCTGGAACCCCAGAGAGAAGGTATATCAATAGTGCCAAAAACATGAGACAGCCACCCCATTCCCCAGTACAATACCACCAGTAGCTGGATGCCTTGCTGACTTGCCCCCATCCTGCTGACTCATCCAAAGTCAAAATAGGTCTCAGTACATACAATGCCAACAAAGGTCAAAAGAATAAACTGAAGCCAAATCACAAGATAGTACTAATTGTGGGAAAAGGAAAATTAGTTCAGCTTTCTAAGTCTTTGCTACAGATAGTAAAAAAAAAAAAGAAAAAGAACTTTCAAGTAGCTAAGTGGATAGAATAGAAAGAATATATCACAACTTAAGTTCTCAAAAGAATTATGATATTACAAGGACAGCACGACTTTCCAGAATACAACCACATAAACATGGAAGATTATGCCTCCCTATCAGAAAGCTCAAAATTGCTGTAAGGAGAGGAATCCACAAAGATATCACGGAAACCTATGCCATACATCATTTTGCCTGTGTTTTCTTCTATGCATCATTCAATGTTTTTGGTGGTAGGAGAAAAGCCTGAGTGCATAATCTATATTCTGGAACAAGAAGTCCATTTATCTACATTCTAATAAGCATTTGTTTATTTCCTTATTACTTCAATGAAAAATTTCATGCATAAAAGATCACAGTAGCTTTTGAGCATAATCTGTAGCGGTTGACAAAAAAGTGAGGGAGACAAGCACTTTGGCAACTCAAATGCAAGGCCTGGTGAAATGAAAGACAGGAGGGAGTTGCATGTGCTACATAGATTGATGAAAATTAAATTCACTCTTAAATCTGATATGAAAGTATGGAGCTGACTTTACAGAGAAGGATCACATGAGTACCTTGCATTTTACATCCAGCATAGTGTGCTCAAGGATGCCTATGAAATATAATTTTAATTGAAATGTTTAATGAAAAATCTTGAGTCTTGCATGAGTACACCTTCAATAGCTGGCAAGGTCAGATGAGTTTTCATACCCAGGAAAAGGCAGAAGGCACAGTTTGAAAGCACTAACAATGATAGCAGGTAGTATTTTGGCATGACTTGAGTGCCGATTTTGTAGAATGATCCATTTGGCTCCAATACTATTTAGAAATGGATGCTTGAGTATATATAAATTTGAAAGACATATCCACAAAAATATTTCCTTTCAGTTGATACTGGAAAGATTATGGCATTCTTAAATATAGTTGTGATAAAATATGAAAAAAAGATTGGAAATAAAAAAAAATGAAAGAATAAAGACAAAAAGAAAAAAACAAAAAATAAGCAAATAATAAAACAATAAAGGAAAATAAAAAACAGAAATAAAAAGAAAAAGTAGAAAAAAATAAGCAAATAAAAACAATAAAGGAAAATTAAGAAAAAAAAACAAAGAAATAAAAATAAAATAACTAAAATAAATAGCTAAAACAAATAACTAAATACATAAAAAAAAAATAAACCAAAAGAAAACCAAACACACCAAAACACGCTCCTGCTCTCTGTCGAGTCCACAGGTCACGGTCCCAAAGCTTCTGGCTCCTCAGGACACAGCCGCAGGCCGGGCAGGGCCTATGGAGGCTCTGCCGGTGACATGACAGCGGCTCTCTGTGGCGTCAGAGCCAGAGGCCACAGCCATCGGCAGAGGGAACCCAGTGGCTTTTCGGCCTTAACGAGAAAGCTACTGCCAAGAGGTGTGTTCATAGGACTTACTAGAGATTGAAGTGTACCCAGTTGACGACAGCCCGTAGAATGCCGGAGAGGCCGTTTCACTTGTAGTGAGAAACCCCGTCCCAGGTTTTGGCTTTTCAAGGTCTCCCCATAGACTGTCACTGCCTCAATCTCTGATGCGTCTCAAAATGACAGGACGCCGTCAACTGACATCATAAACGGCACAACGTCGTGAGCATGAGACTCGACACAGTCTGTCTTCCCATCCTCACACTGAAAACTCTAGGACATGGTTTCCCTCCATTTTTGCGCGAGAGCTGAGCGTGCCCATCGGCCACCTCGCAGGCCCGAGGCAGGGGCGGCTCTGGCAGGCGGGCGGATGCAGTAAAGCTCGGCCAGTGGGGTCCCTCTTCCCCGTGTCTGCTGCTCTCCTGTCTTGCCTGCTAGTGCCAGGGCACAGCCCCCTCCCTCACTGTCAAGAGTGTCGCCAGCAGCACGACCCGGGGTGTGTGTCCGTCACGCGGTGCTGCCTGCCACGGTCGCCCCATGCTGTGGGGACACCCTCTGACCCAACTCAGATGGGGCTGGGGGCAGATGGGGGTGGTCAGCTCCCACCGAGATTTCTGGCTTAGAAATATCTGCTTCTTGCTCGAGCTGGGGGCCGGGGGGCGGGTTGGTTGGCAAAGGACAGGTTCAGACGCTGTGACCCTGAGCCCTGCCAGGAATTACCTGGCAACTGGAAATGGTGGATCCAGGTGAACAATGGGGGTTCTGTTACTACTCAGGCTGCAGGTTCCTTTCACCTTCCAAGCATGCTCTGCTCACTCACAGTATCAGCCGAGGACCCAGTCTCACCTGAGCAGCCTGGAGCACAGTCAGAGCCCCAAAGCTCAGAAGCATTGGCTTGGGTGTGGGGACTGATATTGCTCCAGGGCCTCTTTTCCCAGGTCTGGAGAGCGGAGGGTTTGATTTGGCTCAGGGAGTGAGGACACACAGGGCAGGTTCCCGCTGGTCTGTCTGCCCCTGTGGAGCCTGGCCCATCAGTGGCTTTGAGAGGTTGTGCTGCTCCCTCCTGCCAACTGCTGCTGCTGCTGAGCTGCCACGGAGAGCGAGTTATGGCCACTTCCGTTTTGGTTCCAATGCCCATTCCAGTTTTTCTCTCAAACATGCTTTTGCTTGTCTCCTTTTTTGCTTCTCTGTCCTTAACTGAACTAAACCATCTTATGGCTTCCAACATCCCCTATAGTCCCATGACCTCAAAATGTCTTATTCTGGCCCACAACTCCCTCAACCCCAGCTCTGAGAACCACTTGCCTTGTTGGGTGTTTCAATCGGCATTTCCAGCATCATGTGGCCACAATTGTGTAGGGTTTTTTAGATTTAGTTTTATATATGCATATAAGTGTGGGGTGCAGGTCAGAGGTGCGGGGGCTGAGAGGATTCACCAGAGACGACTGGAGATCAGAACAGGAAGATGTCATGAAATCCACTGCTGAGGGCGGAAGCAGGGAGACAGAAGAGGTCTGCTGCCCCATGTGGGTAGCTCCCTGGCTGGCTGGGGATTGAACTTGTGCTGCAGAGATTGCCCATAGCTTCACATTGCACCACCAGGGAGGACCCACTTTTGAAGCCATGATACCAATTCTCTACAGCTCTGTGTGTCTTTTTGATGGTAGAAGGTATATGAACACTTCCCACCTAAAGAACTGCACACATGCACACACACATGTACCGACTCCCATGCACACACTTGCACAGACACAGTGCAAGACATGCAAATACCCAATGACACATACTCCTTGGTAGATCTGATTCACTATCTCGTGTCACCGTGGCATCACCATGTGGTCCATCTGACTTTTCTAAAATTTCCTAAATGCTTTCTAAAATTTTCAAGCAAATCCAGCTATCTGATGACCCATGTGTTGGAAGTGTGGGTGCATTCATACATGAGAAGCAAATGCAGTCGATGTCAAACACTGATTTAATGTTTCATGGGATAGACATGTTAACAGAACAATCCACTTCTGACTGTCTTCTGCAGGCAGAGAAAGAGCATTGAGATGCCTCCACACCCCAGTGTCCTGCAGGCAGAGCAGGTCCCCTGGAGGTCCTCCCTGCAGTGGGGAGCCAGTTTGTCCATCAGCAGCTGCCTGTCTGTCCATCAGCAGCCACCTCCCACACCATATGGGACCTGCGTGGAAGAGAAGAGCCAATAAAGCTCAAGCACAGAGTTACCTGTTTAGGATGCTCTTTTGCCAGCAAAATCCCCCTGGGGCAGGCTGCACAGACCTGCTTTTCAAGGCTCAGATGGAAACCAGGAGGCCCTAGGAGGTGAGTGATTCTCCAACTTGGAATTTCAATTTTGAAAATGGGACAAATCCAGGAGGACTTGCTACCATGGCTGTCAGTCTTTGACAATGCCACTCAGACGGAAGAGCTCCTGCATCCTCTGCGCCATCCGTGTGCCCAGGGGTGAGCAGCAGGGCTCTCCCAGCAAGGGGTCAGGGAGGCCCTCAGGGGACAGAGCCTAAGATGGGGGAGAGAGGCTCAGGGTTCACCGCCTCTGGCCCTGGGGCCTCTGGAGGCTCGGTACACACAGCCCCACACCACTCCTGGGGCCCTGCACTTGCTCAGCTCTCCCCAACCACTCCACATACCCTCCTTCACCCACTCTGCTCCCCTCCAGGTGCTTCACCAGTTCGGTTGCCCTCCTGGCCTTTTACCTGCTCTGCTCCAGGGACATCAGTGCTGCCCAGACTTCTGTGCTGCAGTTCTGTGAGTCTCATGCTGCTCCTGGCCCCTCTGACTGGGCTCAGCCCCTGAGCCTCTCCAGAGCCTCAACCTTCCCTAGTGTGCTCCTGTTCACCATGGCCACTGAGTGGTTGCGCTTTGCTGTGTGTGTTTGGGGGGCTTCTGCCAGGTATGGCGGTATTCCCATGGTTTGAATGCTGCACAGCAGCAACAAAATGCCAAAATTCTGATTATTCTATCTCTGGCCCTCCCACCAGGAGAGCTTGTTTCTGAAGGGGCTACTACATTCCTAAGGCGCCAGCCACTTCCTGGGGGAGATCTTAGGGTGGGGCTGGAAGGCTGGGGAGCAGCCCTGAGTTCCTGGTCCCTCTCCAGCTGGGGGCCTGTCCCAGTGGTGCTGCTGTGCTCCCCAGCGTCCTCCAGCTGGGGCCCCGCCATGAAGGTGCTGCTTTCCTCCCAGGCATCCTCCTGCACCGGGCCTAGCGCCCAGGGTCTGCTCTTCTCTGGGGCGTCCTCCTGGAGGGGGCCCTGCCCGGAGGTGGTGGTGTGCTCCTGGGCGTCCTCCAGCTCAGGGACTCTGGCAGAGATGACCTTGTTCCCCCGGGTGGCATCCTCTCCCTTCTTTTGGACTGCCTCTTTTCGCAGGATACCTGGCCTCTGGGTATTCCCTGAAACCTCAGGCTGTGGGGGGGCAGTCCTTGCAATCAGGGTCACCATGGGGCACAGTGTGAGGGAGGGGCTCACGGAAAGTGACGCACCTCAGCCTCACCTTCTCCTCCTCCTCCTCGGGGTCCTCCTCCCCCTCCTGCCTCCTGGAGCGGAGGCTCAGGTACGTGCCCATGACCTCATTGTACTTTTTCGCCTCAATGGCCTCTTGAATGTCCTGCTTCTGGTGGCCCAGGAGCTCCATCGCTTTGATTATGGCCAGGTCCTGGTGGCCAAGGGATGGCTCGCTGAAGGGCAGGGTCCTCCTTCTACCCAGGGGTGCTGCTTGATGCTCTCCAGGGTGCTGCGTGTATGGGGGTCCAGTGGCAGCATTTTGGTTAGTGGGTCCCAGCACTCGACCGAGAGGTAGGAGGGCAGGTGAACGTACCTGCCCAGGATGTGGTCCCTGATGTGCCGGGGCTGGTCCCGGTGAAGGGCAGTGTGCCGGTGACCATCTGGGAGAGCATGACGCCCAGGCTCCACACTTCCACCTTGGGGCCGTTGTACCGCTGGCGGAGATAGACATCGGGGCCCTGTGTTCTGGGCGACAGCAGCAGGTGCTCAGCGCCTTGCTGAAGCCCTGGACGCTGAGCCCGAAGTCCACCAGCTTTCCTGTTCCCTCTCGGGTCAGCAGCATGTTCTCGGGCTTCACATCCCGGTGGGCGATGCCTTTGGCGTGGCAGTAGCTGAGGGCAGAGAGGATCTGCTGAAACAGCTGGCGGGCCTCGCCCTCCACCAGGCGCCCACGCTCGCTCAGGGAGTCCTGCAGGTCTTCCCCCTCCACGCACTCCATCACGAGCTGCAGCTCCTCCCGGGTGTCCACCACCTGGAATAGCTCCACGATGTTAGGGTGGTGAAGGGCCTCCATGCACCCCATCTCGCGGGCCAGGAGCCGGAGGTCGGGCAGGTTGGACTTCTGGACGCCCTTGATGGCCACCGTGGTGCCCTGAGGGCGGGCAGCGCCAGGGTCACCTTGGCCTGGGCGCCCTCCCCCAGCTCCCGCAGCACTGGGAAGGTTTTTGCTTTACGTCCCTGGGGAGTGTGGTGCTTAAGCACAGCGAGCTTGGACTTGGACGGTGCTGACTACACTCACCAGCCCTGACTGGGCGCACAGCCCTTGCGCTACCTCGGCTGACAACTGACTCACCTACGATAGTAACAAATGCACTATTATCTAGTATTTATAATACTCAAAAATTGCTCACTAACCTTAATAAATATTAACAATGCTAACTTAACTCTACTAGCAATACTAACTTCACTAACCTTACTAGCAATACTAACTACACTAAAAATGAATGAAAATACACAAACAAAAAAATTACAAATGAGATAAAAATGTAAAAATATGATAAAAACTAACCAGTTACAAACTAACCACTAAATTTAAGAATAGAACAGAACAACAAAGACTAATAGAACAAACAACAGAACAAACAACGATTAGAAACTAAAAACTAAAAAAAAAACAACAAAACAGACAACAAAGGGGAAAAAGGAACAAACAATGAAATAACAACAGAAGGGAAAATGGGGGAGATCACACAAAAAAGAAAAATCAGAAAACTAAAAACTGAAATAAAAAACTGAAAGAAGAAAGAAAAAAAATAAGCAAATAACAAAACAATAAAGGAAAATTTAAAAAAAGAAAAAGTAGAAAAAAAGCAAATAAAAAATAATAAAGGAAAATAAGAAAAAACAAAGAAATAAAAATAAAATAACTAAAATAGCTAAAACAAATAACTAAATATGTAAAAAAAATAAAATAAACCGAAAGAAAACCAAACACACCAAAACACGCTCCTGCTCTCTGTCGAGTCCACAGGTCACGGTCCCAAAGCTTCTGGCTCCTCAGGACACAGCCGCAGGCCGGGCAGGGCCTATGGAGGCTCTGCCGGTGACATGACAGCGGCTCTCTGTGGCGTCAGAGCCAGAGGCCACAGCCATCGGCAGAGGGAACCCAGTGGCTTTTCAGCCTTAACGAGAAAGCTACTGCCAAGAGGTGTGTTCATAGGACTTACTAGAGATTGAAGTGTACCCAGTTGACGACAGCCCGTAGAATGCCGGAGAGGCCGTTTCACTTGTAGTGAGAAACCCCGTCCCAGGTTTTGGCTTTTCAAGGTCTCCCCATAGACTGTCACTGCCTCAATCTCTGATGCGTCTCAAAATGACAGGACGCCGTCAACTGACATCATAAATGGCACAATGTCGTGAGCATGAGGCTCAACGTAGTCCGTCTTCGCATCCTAACATTGAAAACTCTGGGACGTGGTTTCCCTCCATTTTTGCCCGTGAGCTGAGCGTGCCCATCGGCCACCTCGCAGGCCCGAGGCAGGGGCGGCTCTGGCAGGCGGGCAGATGCAGTAAAGCTCGGCCTGTGGGTTCCCTCTTCCCCGTGTCTGCTGCTCTCCTGTCTTGCCTGCTAGTGCCAGGGCACAGCCCCCTCCCTCACTGTCAAGAGTGTCGCCAGCAGCATGACACGGGATGTGTGTCCGTCAGGCGGTGCTGCCTGCCACGGTCGCCCCATGCTGTGGGGACACCCTCTGACCCAACTCAGATGGGGCTGGGGGCAGATGGAGGTGGTCAGCTCCCATCGAGATTTCTGGCTTAGAAATATCTGCTTCTTGCTCGAGCTGGGGGCCGGGGGGCGGGTTGGTTGGCAAAGGACAGGTTCAGACGCTGTGACCCTGAGCCCTGCCAGGAATTACCTGGCAGCTGGAAATGGTGGGTCCAGGTGAACAATGGGGGTTCTGTTACTGCTCAGGCTGCAGGTTCCTTTCACCTCCCAAGCCTGTTCTGCTCACTCACAGTATCAGCTGAGGACCCAGTCTCACCTGAGCAGCCTGGAGCACAGTCAGAGCCCCAAAGCTCAGAAGCATTGGCTCAAGGGTGTGGGGACTGATACTGCTCCAGCGCCTCCTTCCCCAGGTCTGGAGAGTGGAGGGTTTGATTTGGTTCAGGGAATGAGGACACACAGGGCAGACTTCCTGCTGGTCTGCCTCTGGGGAGCCTGACCCATCAATGGCTTAGGGAGGTTGTGCTGCTCCCTCATGCCAACTGCTGCTGCTGTTGCTGCTGCTGAGCTGCCGTGCAGAGCATGTTATGGCCACTTCCATTTCGGTTGCTGACTCCAGTGCCCATTCCAGTTTTTCTTTCAAACGTGTTTGCATGTCTCCTCCTGATTTCAATGGTATTAATCAGAAATGAACTACAAAAAACCAAGAAAAATCTCAAATATGTGGAGAATAAGCAACATATTAGTCAATGACTCATAGAATAAATCAAAGGAAAAATTAGAAAATACTTGGAGACTAATGAAAATTGAGACATTAGCTACCAGAACTTAAGGGTGTAAATAAAAGCAGTATTAAGAGGGAAATATACAGCAATATAGGCCAATATAAAGAAACAAGTCAAATAGTTTAGTTTGTACCTTAAGCAACTTGAAAAAGAAGAAACAAAATCAAATTCACTGGAAGGAAAATAAAATTTCAGAGCATAAGTATGAAATAGAAATAAAAAATATAGTCCAAAAGATCAGCGAAACCAAAAGATAAACAAGATAGACAAGCCTATAGTTTGACTTCTTAAAAAAAAAGGAGAAAACTCTTAGAATGAGAAATGAAAAAGAGAAGTGGCAATATATATAATAGAAACAGATAGACTCTTAAGGGACTATTCCAAAATTTTTATACCCATAAATTGGATAACCTAAAATAATAGAAATAGAAAACTTGAACAGACTAATTATAAGCAAGGAAATTGAAACAATTATCATGAGTCTTCCAAAAAATCAAAGCCCAGCATAAGATGGTATCACAAGTGAATTCTACCTCTTCAAGTGAACTAATGCCTATCCTTCTTAAACTCTTTTTAAAACTTGAAGAGAGAATGCTTCCAAACATTTTATAAACCTGACTACTGCTTAAATCAGACAAGTATATCATGAAAAAAGAACATTATACCGATACCCCAGATGATTTAGATTCAAAAATCCTCAAGATTTTTTTTTAGCAAGTTGAGTTCAATAATGCATTAAAAAAAATCATAGATCATGAGCAAGTAGGATGGTTCAATATCTGTGAATTGACTAATGTATTTTACCACATCAACAAAAGGAAAGATTATAGTGATGATTATATCAGTAGATGCAGAAAAATCAGTTGACAAGATTCAGTATCTGCTTGTGAAAAAAACTCTAGAAATAATGATAGAAGAAACATGCATAAACATAATAAAGGTTGTATAAACAAGCCAACAACTAAAATCATATTCCATGATTAAAAAAAAGGAAAAACTGGGCCTCCCCAGTGGCACAG